TCCCGGGCACTCCGGCCAGAAGCGCCCGCCACAGAGCTTCTACCATAAGATGTCCGAGCCTGCGCGTCGTCCCTGCGTGGTCGACGCCTCTCGAGTGTAGACAAGTGGCGCTGACGATCACGATGCTGTGAGCAGAACCACGGCTGGATCGGCTGCACCCACGAGCGACCATGCGCAGTGCGGCGTGGGCATTTGATAAGGAACCCTTCGATAAGGAATCCAGGGTCCGGAAGCCAGTGGAACTCCAATCGTGGATCGGCCATGGATATCACCGCCGCCCTCATTGGATTGGAATCCTCCAGGGTCTGGCGCCTCCTGCGACTATTCCTTACCAAACTAACAAACGCCTCCACCCTAGTGACCTCTGGTGCGCGGCCACGGGTGGGCCAAGTCCAAGCGCGCAAGCCAGTGCCGTGGGGACGCCGGTGGCCCCGCACCAAGGTCACTCACTTCAGCACGAAGGGTCACGCTTGCGCACAGCCAACTGGAGCTCCCAACACCATCGTTGCGCGGGACTCCCTGCGTCGACGTGGTCTGTTCCGCAGCCGCGTGCCATAGCCCTCCCTCCGGGACGCGCCGACCCAGGCAGCGCAAACCTGGGTCAGCCAGGGCCATGTCGCGAACCCGGGCCGGCCCATGGCCGCTCCCAGACGAGGGCTCACCATCGCTCGGACGTCCATTCCCCGTGCACCTGCTGGTTTCGTGCATGCGTTCTCTGCCAGACGATCCGCGATGCTCCTCGGTGGCCCTCGCCGAGAACGGCTGCGCACTCCCGAGCGATGCCAAGAGGGGGGAGGGAATTGGGGGGTCGGGCCCTCGAGGCTTCAAAGCCCGGGGCGGTCAGCAGGAATTGGCCGACCCGCGTGAGCGCTGACCCCCGTCAGGGGTGCCCCGGCTCGCCCCCCTCGAGCCACGACTTCGGGGGCGCCCAAGAGGGGGGCGCGGCCCAGGGGGGGGGGCCCTGACGCACTGAAGCAAGAAACGGCGCCATGAGATCCGGGGGGAGACCGTGGCCTCCCCCATGATGCCCTCCCCCCCTGGTCATCGACCCCCACCTGGCCGCCCCGACAATCCCAGCCCCGAGTGGCCATTCTGGACGGCCCCGGCTGTCCCCGGGAGGTCCTCGACGAGGTGCGGCTGCTGGAGGAGGACGCCCCCTTGTCCCGAAGGCCTCCAGGAACCTCTGAGAATTCCTGGAAGCTTTGCGGAGAGGGGCAAAAGGTACGAGACCTATGTTGCATCACAGCAGCAATTCTGCCCCTAACTTTCGTCCTGGGTTCGTTTTAATGAAGACATGAATTTCGGGGTCCTTACGTGGGAAAAAACACCACTTCTCTAATCTGGGGCCCCTGGGGCCTCAGTGGGCCCTGGGGCCCAAAATTAGTGACGTGATGGTTTTCGGGCCTCGGAAAAGGGGTACAGTCAAGACTGGCCACAGGGATAAGCTATAGAACGCAAGGCACCCAGGACACGCCAAGATGCCAACCGAGGAAGCAGAACGCATACAGAAGATACCCAGGATCGAAGAATGCAACGGGGGCCTTGCTTCGAAGGCTCATCCTTACCGCTGGTGACTGTACTGACTCATGGAGGAAACGTCGGCCTGGAATCGACGATGCATCGCACATATGTCGGCGAAGCCCCCCAGTAGAGGAACTGCACGCACGCTCGAAGGCAGGGTTGGGGCAGTCGGGCGCCGATCGGCGATGAAACGGCGATTTAGGGGGGTTGGTGTCCAACCTCCCCTGGGCCTACAGCCAAGCTGCCACACTAAACATAAGGGAAGCTACATGAAGGCGCGAAAATGATTTTTGGTCCAAAAAGCGCCTGGGTTGCCGAAGAGCGCTAGAAGAATACCCACGAAAAGACCAAGAGGAACAGCGAGCCCCTCTTGAACCCGAGCTGTTCCTTATTTCGTCGTCTCGACTGTGTCCACTTTCTCGCCTTCCCGAGGGCTCTCGACGAAACGCCCCGAAACCCTGAGAACGTCCAAGAGCATTTCGGATGCCTCCAGGCCACTTGTCCACATAGCACTCCAGAAGTCCCGGGAACTCCGGTCCGGAACCTGACCCAAACCTGCTCCGCGAGTCTCTACAAACTCTCTCAGCAGCTTCCTCGGCTTCATGCAGGAGTGGCCCTGGGTAGGAGTGGCCTTTGGAGCGCGGCTTCTGGGGGGCGGCGGGGGGCCCAAACACAAACGCGCAAGACGCCACTATCGCGTCGTGTTCGGCGGTCGGGGGACCCCTGTGGGCCCGCACCAAAGGTCACTCCGGCGAAGGGTCACTCTTACGTGCAGTCGACTTCCGAGGAGCTCCCGAAGGCCTCCAAGTCTGAAGAAGAACCTCCCCAGACATCCGACGAGGCGTGCTTTTCCATCCGCGGCCCGGTCCCTGGACCTCCCAAGCCCCTTCCCAGGAGGAGACAGGCGCTTGCGTCCCAGATCGACTCTTGGTTGCCCCGTTCTGGGGGGACCTGGGCTGACCACCGCACCGACCCTGGCCAGGACCATCCCGGGCCGAGGGCCACTGGACATGCTCTCCTTCCTGGCATGGCCAGGGAGGCTTCTGCACCGATCTTGGGCGCGAATGACTGGGGGGCGACAGATTGGGGGGAAGAAAGGTGCCCTTTCCGGGCCCTCAAAGGGCACCTGCTGGGCCTGGCCCTAGAAGGCCCTTCAGGGCCCCTGTCTGCAGCCCTCGCTGACCCCTCTCACTTATCGCTCCCCCATTACACGCCCCCCGACGATCCTGGGCCCAGGATCGGCTGGGCCAGGATCGGAGAAGTGGTCCGTTGACGTCCCCGGCCCGAGCCCCGAACACGGCCCTCCGGAGGCCGAGATCGAGGGAGAACGCCGGGATGGATCAGCTCTGGAGAGAAAAGCCCCCCCAAAGTACCGATGCCGCTATACTGACTGGACCTCTCCAGATGCACGTTCCGACCGGAGCGTCGAGGCGAAGCCGGTGGTGGCGGCGAGGGCCTCCCAGGAGGCCCAGAGAAGGCCAGAGGACGAGGGAAGGGCGGCGGTGTGCCCTTTCCGCCCCCTGAGACGACTGTTAGGTCGGGCGTGTCCCCCGACAGGGGGAACTTCGACGAAAAATGAAAAACACCGTAAAAAAAAATCCCAGGGGCTTAAAATAGTAAAAACAAATCGTCCCCCCCATATATATATATATATATATATATATATATATTAATTCTCCTCCTGCAGAGGGACACGCCCGACTTAAGACTACTGAACAGCTCACTCCTCCGGAACCCTGCGGCCATGCACCACGGAAGGCGCCGACGCTGCGCGCAAAGGGGCCGGCGGCCGCCGCAGGGCGCCTGCCACGCGGCCGCAGCGCCGTAGACGCCTTTGTCGGCCCGCGGCTTGTAGTTCCTCCACGCGTGCAGCGCGGTGCGCCTGCAGCCCGGGGGCCGCAGGGACAAACACGGCTGCCTCCGTCAAGCCGTCAAGCAGGAGAGGGCGAGAGGAGGAGGAGGAGGAGGAGGAGGAGGAGGAGGAGGAGGAGGAGGAGGAGCTAAGGTAGCGTGGGGAGGCGGGCCGGTGCAACCAGACTATTGCCGATGCGGCGGGGCCTTCTCAGAAGTCGACGTTGTTGCCGTTGCTGCTGTAGCTGTAGCGCTCAGAAGGCACGAGCTTGCCGAAGGGCCAAAGGGGGAAATGTATAGTAGACGTTGGAGCGCTTAAATGGCACGAGCTTGCCTCGTCGCTGCTATCCTCATTGCGGCCGTCATCAGATGTACATCCCCCATGCATATGTTTCACATCTGTCATCGGAATAATGATCCAAAGTTCTCGTGCAGCCGCAGCCCGAGCACACAGGTACCCGATGTTCGCGTAGATGATGTGCTCGAAGATTCTTCGAGCCAGTGAGACGGCCAAAAACAACGCAGAGCCTGTCACCCGAGCGCCCCAAGACTTTGCCCACCCTGTCATGCATGGCAATGGTCACGAGCGAGTGGGCCTGCACCACGGTGTTCTTCGGTGTCCTCAGCGTGATCAGCTGCTAGTCGGTGTCCTCCACGGCGAAATCGCTGCCCTTGGAGGCGAGGTCGTCGAGGACATGGCCGCCAGAGCGCTGCAGGATGATCTCGCTCCGTGGATCGATGTCCTCCACGGCGTCGGCGCGGCCCAAGTCGTCCTTGAAGCCGTGGTCGGCGAGGCTCTGCAGGAAATCATCGCTCCTAGCGTTGGCGCGCTGGCATCCTTCACGGAGTCCGTGCGGCTCGGCCGCGCTTGCGCGGCCCTGCGTTGCCGTCGCGAGGGCTCTGGGCGCGCGCGATTGGGATCTCGACGAGGGCGGCGGGGCACATCACGCCCCTCAGGCGGATGCGAGGAACCGCAGCAAGAGGGGGAGAAACCGAAGATGAGGTCGTGGCCATCTGCGTCACCACGTCCTCGCACAGATCTGCCATGTTGTCGGAGTTGGCATTCACATGTTCCTGCAGTTTCTCGATCAACGCGTCGTGCATGGACTGGACGATGTCGGAGGTGTACTTGTTCGGGTCCGCCCTCTCTTGGAGAAGCTTCTGGTACAAGAGCCTGCCCTGCGCAGCCAGCTGTTCTGGAAGTCGCTTCGCCACGCTTTTCTCGACCTCGTTTCTCATTGACCTGGCTAGGGAGGTGATCTTGTCCTTCCATAGTTGGTCATCGGCTGGATGTCTTCCCCTCGACCGAGGTTTCCCTCTGGGGGGGTCGGAGGCTGAGTCTCCTGCACCCCCCCGGCACCCATCCTCAGCGGGCAGCACGCCGCATGCGGGTACACCTAGAGGAGGAGGAGGAGGAGGAGGAGGAGGAGGAGGAGGAGGACCAGTGTACACCCAGGGCCCATCAACGATGTTGAAGTAAACCCTCCCTCCAAGCTCCCTCTTCATAGGCCCCTACAAAGATTCCTTTTCACTGAGGGAAGTGCCCCGCTGGGAGACAACCGCTCGAAGATCCTGAAGCATGCGAAAACACAATTCGCAGAGGAAGGAGACGGAGGAAGGGGAGGGGATCACTCAGCCGCCTGTTAGAAGCCGGGCCAGCCTGATAAACACAGGCTGGCCCAGCGCTGCGCCGATCTGCGCAGCGTCTGCCTCCCTCCACCCATCATGATCCGACACTTGCAAAACAACCAGCAGGCGGCTCTGTCAAGTGGATCGAATCACGGCAAACGTGCATTTCGCACGAATTCCGAGAAGGCCCGAGATTGCGCGCGCGGCACGTGGTAATGTAGTATCTTTGCCTAGGACTTGGTCTCGGCCGTGGTCGCCTCGTCCTTCAGGACCGGCTTCGCGTAGTCCAACATGCCCATGCCCGTCAGGATGACCGTGATGCCTACGTACTGCGGGACGCTGCAGAACTCCCCGAAGAAGAACATCGAGCACATGAGGCCGATGGAGCGCGCATACGTGACGACCTTCAGCGTGAGAGCTGAGAGCCCCTGCCAGCTTCAAGAACCAGAAGCTGGAGAGCACGATGACGCCGGTGGCCATCGCGTTGGCGGCCAGGAGCCCCACGACCGAGCCGCTGACCTCGTAGTGGTAAATATGTTTTGCCTCCATGCAGCCCACGAAGACGGCGGCAAGGAGCACGAACGCGGGGCTGGAGTGGTAGATCCCGTCGAAGAGCGGCATCTTCTCCATCAGGACCTGGCTGATGACGGTCTTGGTAGCCTCGAAGGTGCTGGCCAGCAGCATCAGTACCACGCCGATGAGGGTGTTGGTAGCGCTGTGGCCGCCGCCGACCTTCGAGTCGTTGCCGTAGGCGGCCGACAGGCAGACGCCGCCGGCGATCACCAGGACGGAGCAGACCAGGAGCCTGCTCACCTTCTCAGTGACGAGGAGCCAAGCGAAAACCAACACCATCACAATCGTCATGCTCTTCAGTATCTGGAACTCCGGGACCGAGATTGACAGGAACGCGTACATGCCCAAGCTCTGGGTGAGAAAGTTGAATCTGTTAATGGGCACCACCACTTTCAGGCACCTAGCCCAGGGGACCTGCTCGACCTCGAGCATCTTCCACCCAAATGATACAGCGGCGCGGGTCACGATCACGAGGAAGACGTTACCCAGGCAGGCAAGAATAATCGGGAAGTGAATGGAAAGTGGAACTTCTGGGTCCGCATTCTGTGCTTGCTCAGGAGGATAACCGCCAGGCCAGGTATGCAGTACAGGGCAAGGGAGGCTGCGACCTCGGCGAGGGTGAGCGAGGACATGCCGCTAGCGCTCCTCGAGAAGGCCTGGCGCAGCTTGTCGAAGCTGAGGGCTATGACCACGAGCATCGCCGTCAATTGGCAGAAGCTCTCCCAACCCATGAGCGGGGGGGCGGGGGGCGCCAGGAACGGAATCTCCTCCTCCATCGGCTCGTCCAGGATGGCCGCCCTGACCGTCTTCAGGAGGAACCCGACCGCCGACTGGACAGAAGCGCCCAGCTCCTGCCGTCCTCCACGAACTCGCCGGGCAGCTGCGGCTGGTCCAGCGAGGCGATGAGCAAGTCACGGCCGAACTCGCACCCGGAGCCCGCGCGGCCCTCCGCGGCCGGGGCTGCCGCCGCCCGTACGGCGCCCGCCGTCGGGAACTTGTAACTTGCCGCCAGAAGCGGCATCGAGGACGCCGCCGGCTGGTGGCACGAGCTCGCCGGCCGCGCGGTCGACCAGCGTCTCCGCCTGGAGCAGCGCGCTGCCGTCGCAGAGGAGACCTTGCGCTCGGCACAGAAGTTGCCCAGGCAAGCAGCAGGCTGTCACGATCATGCAGGCGGGCCCGTCTGGTGAGGGCATGGGGCAGCTTCGCCTGCACACTGAGTGGTGCGCCCGAAGCACGGTCTACCAGGTCATGTACAGCATGGACGGTAGTCAGGTATTCAGTTTGAACACTCTTGGGCCAAAATGGCGACGGAAGAAGGCGTAGGGGACGGGGAGGAGAAAAGGGCGGAGGAGGAGCAGGAGGATCAGGAGGAGGATCGGGGGAAAGAGGAAGACGAGGCCTCCCTGCCGGTCATCCTCCTGTCTGTCTGCGCCGCCGTCGTCCCTCCATCGTGTTTCGCCGTGGCGCCCGCCTGCAGTCTGCAGGAGGAGGAGGGTGGGATCACGGATCCGTGGATCTGGCGCGTGGGCGCCAGGTCCACGGATGGGGAAAGGTAGCCCCCCCCTGAAGCACGAGGCTAAAGCCGCCCGTCTTGGCGACAGAACGGCCACGAAGCGCGCCGGATCTGTGCGGAAGCGGGGTCCGTCGCTGATCCACGCATCATGCGCTTCCTCGCCTCCAGGGAATCGGCGCGGCCCCTGGAGCTTCGAAGGGAGGCTGGAGGATTCGGGACCGCGGAGTAAACAAGAACACATCGTCGGACGCCTGGGGGCATCAGGGGTCACGGGGCCAGTAGGCCATGGCAGCCTGCCAAGGTCCCTCGACGTTCACCCGAGTCAGACGAAGCCAGGACGAGGACAAAATCGGGTGAAGATAAATCGGGAATCCCTATCCGGCGGAACTGGAGGATGTCTCGGGCGCCGCGGCCTTCTCAGAGCGTTCCGGAACGCTCTGAGAGCGTTCGGGAACGCTCTGGAACGGATTTGTCCTCGTGCCAGCCCCGTCCGACCGCGGTCTGCCGACGTCCTCCAGGGCCCGCTGGGGGCCCCCGAGAGGTCTGCAGAAAGCAGCCATATGCGCCTCCGTGCCTGGCCGGGGGGCCGCCCTGGGCCCCAGTGGATGGGGTGTAGACGATAAGCCCGCCTGGCCTCGGCCAGGAGGGCGCATGCACATAGCACGGGCCCGAATGGCTCTAGCCACGCACGGTGGTGCACAGTCAACCCGTACAGTCAGGACGCGCGATAAGGATACAAGGGCCTTGGAAGGCCATGTCGACACACTTTGAGGACGGGGCGCGGCCAGCGAAAACGGCCGAGGATGGGCCGAAGGGGGAGGATGCAAGGGCAACCTTGGGAAGGCGTTTATCCTCCCTGTGCGGATTGACTGTGGAAGCCTCTCCCTGGCATCCAAAGGCGTGGGACCAACCGGCCAGGGCAGCTTGCCGAGGTTCCCGGAGGTCCCCCGCGGCACGCGGGGTACCTCCTGGGCTCTGGGATCCGCCCCGCTCGGCACGGGGAACGCAGCATGCGCAGTTGTTTTTGCTCTGGGCCCTTGCGTTCCCCAGACTCCCCACAACAAGCGATGCCGAAACAGACATTTCTGGTGCGGGGTTGCATGGCTCCTTTTGGAAATTGTCTTTAATTTTCCCAAGCATCCTGCGGTGTTGGGTCAACGTTTTGAGAAGACAGCGCCCCGCGTTGTCTTTGCACCTCCTCCCGCTGCCCCCATCCCCCTTCCTCATCTAATCCCTGCATCTGCCCTCCGCTCTCCTCCTCCTTTCTCCTATCATCGCCAGCATCATCAGCATCAGCATCATGATCATCATCATCAGCAGCAGCATCATCATCATCATCATCCCAATGCCACCGTCCGCATGCGTCCGCCACACCCATTCCCGCACACCCCTTACATGGTTCGTGGCCCCATGAAGAGCTCCACAAAAGGTCCCAGTGCTACTGTCCGCATGCGTCTCCCCCACCCAATACAGCGCTTCCTGGCCGCATGAGGAAGTTCACCGACGGTCCCAAAGATACCGCCCGCATGCGTCCACCCCACCCCACCCAGTATAGCGTTTCGTGGCCCCATAGGGAGCTCCACCAAACGTCCCAGTGCTGCCGCCCGCATGCGTCCCCCTAACAACTACAGCGTTTCGTGGCCCAGTAGGGAACTCCACCGAAAGCCCCAGTGCTACCGCCCGCATGCGTCTCCCCCACCCAATGCAGCGCTTCGTGGCCCCGTAGGGAGCTCCACCGAAGGCCCCAGTGGCAACGTCCGCATGCGTCCCCCCACCCAGTAAAGCGCTTCGTGGCCCCATGAGGTGGGCGCACAACGCCATCGAAAACGCGCGCTCTCACACTTGAGCTGCGTTGTGCGCGGGCACAAATTTAACGCCCGCGCCTGGCGCGCGCGCGGGCGGGCGATCTGTGCGAGCAGGCCGCCTCCCGCTCTGCTGCGCCTCGCGGGGCACAGCCCCACGAGAAGGGCTCGCGCGCGAAGGGGGGGGGGCAAGAGGTGTTTTGCTGCGCGCGGCCCCACGAGAAGGCACCCCGCGCGCGCACGGGGCGACGGTTGTTCTTCAACTTGCATTGCGTTGCGCGGTCCGTGCGCGCGCGCCGCGAGGACCCCGCCGGGACGGATCGCGGCGCGCCTCGGGTTCGTGCAGGCAGCAGGCATTGGCACTTGCATCCTGCAAGCATCTGCGCTCGCGTCCCGCCTTCGCGGGCGGCGCGCGCGCTGTCAAGTTGCTGGCTGTCGTGTCGTAGCTGCCTGTCGTGGCTGGCTGGGTTGCCGTATTGTGGCCGTCTTGTGCGGCTGCCTTCCTGGCTGTCTGGTTTTTGCGTCGTGGTCGTCTGCCTGGTCGTGTCGCGGTCGTCCGTCGGTCGCGTCGCGGGCGTCGCGTCATGGCTGTCTTGCTGTCGTGTCGTGGCTGTCTGGCCTGTCGTTCGCAGCCGCGCGCGCGCGCCGGTCGCTACCCTCTTCTCCCCGTGCAGGTTCCTTCCCCGCTCCCTCCTCCGCCAGGCGCAGGTGTTTCCTCTTCTACCACGACAAGCTCCCTTCGTCTGATTTGCTGGCTCGACGTCATGACTTTCCTTCAACTGTGGCCTGACCCACGCGCCGTCCGTCTCTGCTCTGCGCGAAGCGTCCCGGCTAGCTTTCGCGCGCGCTTGCTCTGCCCGTCTGCCATCTTGTGCCTGCGTGTAACATTGGTGCCCAATCTGGCGATGGCGGCGCCCAGTCGGCCCGCGCCGCAGGTGCAGGCCAACGCGGCTTCTTCTCTCACGGGCGCACATTGTCCGTCGGCCCCGAGCGGCCATGCGGGGCCAACGCGGCCCTCGCTGGGGCGCGGGAGCATTCGGCCCCTGAGCGCGTCGGCTCCTGCGGTCAGTCGGCCCAGTCCGCCAGCGCAGGACAATGCGGCTTGCTGTCTTGCGGGCGCTCACTGTCCGCGGGCCCCTAATGGCCATGCGGGGCCAATGCGGCCCTCGCGAAGGCGCGGGCCCACGCGGCCTCAGCGCGGTTGCTCTGGGGCCCAGTCGATTCCTACCGCTGGTGCAAGCCAATGCGGCTTGCTAAATTGCTGTCCTACGCGCGCATGCCTGTGGCTGCGGGGCCCAGTAGGCCCCCGCCACTGGTGCCGGCCAACGCGGCTTGCTCTCTCACAGGCGCATGCTGTGCGTCGGACAAAAGTGACCATGCGGGGCCAACGGCCAACGCGGTCCTCGCAAGGGCGCGGGCCCACTTGGCCCCGGCGCTCGGCGGCTCTGGGGCCCAGCCGGCTCCAACCACTGCTGCGAGCCAGCGCGGATTACTTTGTTTGGGGCAGTTTGGGGGGCATGCCGCCCGTCGGCCCCGCGTGGCCTCGCGGGGCCGACGCGGCCTTCGCTGGCGCGCGGATTCGGCCCCACCGCGCGGCGGCTCCTGGGCCCACCCGGCTCCAGACGCAGGCTCGAACCAATGCGACAACGCGGCCTGCCGCTGCTCGGGGGATCTCTGCTCGTCGGCCCGAGCGGCTACCTCGTGGTCCTGTGCATCCGACGCGGCACGCCGCGGCGCGGTCGTTCCCGCCGCGTTTTCGCGTTGTCGTTCCGTTAGCGCTCGGCGCAGCAGCGGCTGGGAGGCGAGCTGCGCGCGCGCGCAACGGGCCGCTTCGCGATGGGCGAAGTTTCGGCGGATACCGTTCGCGCTTTTCATGAGCGCGCCGAGGGCGTGGGCGGGCGCGCAGGACGCCGCCCGGCACAACTCGGTCGCAAGGGCGCTGGCGGCCGAGAGCACCTCCTCGCCCTCAGAGTTGGCCAGGGCCAATTTGTTTGAAGTCTTTCGCATGCAGAACGCTGGCTTAGATGAAAGCACGAAACGGTGCGTCCGCTTGGCCATCAAGTTTGCGGGGCGCGAGACAGTCGGCGCGCCCGCGCGGCGCGAATCGCGCGCGCGCG